GCCTGCGTCTAGACTGATTCATCAGACGGTTTCACTTTGTAGAAACCGTCTGAACTCGCAGCATTAGGGTTCGTTCGCTCAACAATAAGCGGGTACTTTTTAAATTTAACCAATCATTGCTATTTAGACATGACGAATAGGTTAGGTTTGGTCTCTTTATTCGTACCCGTAGGTAATTTTGCTTTGCAGATTTGAGATTTAATTCATCCACAAAACACGTGTAAAAACACAATTACAAAATAAAGTGTTTACAGTGCTCCAGTGCAGAATGGTTTGTTCCATAAACAATTAGTTAAATTCATCCATCACGCTCGGCTAAAGTCACAATAAATATTAAATATGTTAAAAACACACAATCTTAGATAAATAGATTACAATTTATTCATAAGTACGACAGCAGCCGGAACGAAGCTCCTCTTAAAACGATTCGTTCTAGATCTTGGGACTAAAAGCGTCTGACCAGAGAGAAGCAGCTGAAACTCTGAGTTTAGTGGATGTTGCACGTCTTTAAAATCCTCTGGAACGTCGTCTGTAAGTGTCTCGAGTCCAGAGAGTCCAGCGGCTCTGAGGATGAACAATCACCTCACTCGCCCATTTAACCAACGGATTCAGGGAGTTCTTGTTTTTAGCAGAGATGCTCCCAAACCATGAGACCAGTGTACCGTATTTTCCACACTATTAGTCGCTCTGGATTATAAAACGCACTGTCATTAAATGGTCTATGTTTGAACTTTTTTCACAAATAAACTGCACTGGACTTTAAAGGAAACCCAACAGTGTGATGGGTGAGTGGTTTTGTTTTGTTCGTTCACGGTGACTCTGGGCTTTGTTCAGTTGTGGCGTGTAGGGAGGGTGTGTCTGGGACCAACGGATTGTCGGCGTGTTCGCAGTGACTCAGTTGTTCAGTCGTGTCTAGAAGTGGCACATTGCACTCGCTTTTTCGGTTCGTTCCTCCGTTCCGTTCCTCGTCGGCGTGGAGTGATGAGTGTGACTGGGTGTTTTTCACTGTGCGGTCGCTGTCTGCTCCGTGCGTGTTTGTGTGTTCTGCAGGTGGTGTGGCTTTGTAGTTTACTGAAGTCGTGCTGGGACACCTGAGTGGATTCGTGTATAGGGCGCTCTGGATTGTGGGGTGTTTTTTGATGGGGTTGGAGGCTTATGAGTGCGGAAAATATTCACCAAATCCCGTAGGAAGAAGGACAATAACGTCTTTCCCCTTGATAAAATTCACCAAACATTCTCTTTGTTCCAGCTTTAAATCCTCGATCTCGGGAATCGTTGCCAACACAGAATGTCTGTCTTCGTCTACATCCACCTCGTCGCTTTGTTTACTGTTGTGTAGTTCCACAAAAGGGACACAGACAGGAGCTTGTATTTGACATCATGACTTCACAGCTCTTCTCTGATTGGCCGGTGCATGTCTACAACTTCCGAGGTTCTTGAAAAACCGTCTGGAGCAGGCATGTCCAAACTACGGCCCGTGGGCCAAATGCGGCCCCCGGACAAATTTTTCTTGGCTCTCAGGCTTCCAGGTGACTTGGCCCAAATTACTTTGCCTCAATTAAAAGTGATCTTTTTACTGCAAATTTTTAGAACATTTTCTTTGATTAAAGCTAATATTTAATATTTAGTGTGTGGGTTTAAGGATCTTAGCCTGAATAAAGACTGATGGCTCATTCTCACGTGCACATATTTCAATTATTCCCTGTACTGAGCACCAGTCTATGGCCCTCTGCTTCGTCTGTGTTTAGATATGTGGACCTTGATGAAAGAAGTTTGGACACCCCTGTGCTAATGTTTTCTGATTCCTGACCTAGTCGCTGGAGAGAAATGAAACAGAGGAGGCACTAGGGGGCACCTGCAAACAATTGTAACTTTCATTCCCGCTCCTGCCCACAAATCCTGCAAGATGTTGATGTTCACTTTCTTTCCTTTCCTTCCTGCTGCTGTCAGACTGTACAACAAACACTGTTAACACTGAACATGTGCTATTCAACTACATCTATGTACAGTTATTTTTAAGCCATTATTTATTATCTGTTTTATTGTATGTTACCTTTTTCCTGCTGTTCTTGAATTACATGTTGCAACACTGGAATTTCCCCACTGTGGGACTAATAAAGGCATATCTTAAGTGCTGTCGAACACGGAAAAACAGAAAGGAATTGTCTAAAATCTGCGCGAAATTTCGGCAAATGTCGTCTGCTTAAAATGTTTTTATTAATGCCAAACAAAATATCCAGCACAAACGATGTATGATAGTCATGCATTAATCATTTGTATAATTTACTTAAGTTATAAGTTATTGTGAATACACTAACAATTTTGCATCTCAGACAGTATTTTTTTTTTTTTTTACACGTTACAATTGAACAAAGTTGAGAGTTACTGTGAAAAGTTTGAAAATAGAGCATTCAATGACATTGCGCCTTATAATCCAGAGCGCCCTATAGTGCAGAAAATACGGTAATCATTTGTATATTTTACTTTACACTCATATTTAGTTTGCAGGACTACAGTTTATCATCCCACTAACTAAACTAAACGAAACTAAAAAATAAAATCCCATCTTTATGCACGTCTTTGTAGTTTTCTGCTTTACAACTTTGCGCTCCTTCCTGTATTTTTTTCTACTTTTCTTTCATTTCATTCCTTCATTTTCATTTCTTTCATTTTATTCATTTCCAAAGAGTCCCAACGGTTTTAAAACCTCTTTTTCTCGTTTTATTTGAAGAATTCGCAAAAAGGTTAAAACTTTGGCACCAGCGAAAACACTCAAGATTCCGTTTAAATTTAAAGACGGCGTTTTTCTGCAAGATCGATTTCCACTTAACTGATGTAAAAATGTGATAAATATTTACTGCCGCTACTATCACACCTTAAAAAGTCATGTACACAATTAAATCATGACTCAGCGACAGACGGGAGCCGCGTCCTCTTAACAACACAAAAGCTACAACCGAGCCGGAACCTTCGACGCGTGACCTCGGGTTTTGGAGTTTGTGATTTTTTTTAGGAGGAAGATTTGCGGTTTGAAAACGTAACGAGATTCACATGAACTCATCCCGAACGGCGAGCGAGGCCAGACTGTTAGACACGATTTATCAAAGAGCAGGTGACGCGAGAGATGACGTCGTATTTTGGAAACTTGAAGTGCTTTGTCTGGGCTTAAAGTGACTGTCTGTGCTTTGTGTCTCTACTGGAGCGTTTTCAGGGTGTAAGAAAAGAGTGAAAACCTCATTCTTTTTTTTTTAAATGATGGGCGCTGTAAAAATTCCATGTGCTGGATTTGTGGAGTCGTCCATGATGCTCTGGACTTTTGTCCTGCACCTGCTGATGTAAATGTTTTTGATGCAGGGGAGACTACAGCCTAGTCCTGGTTCAGTCCTGGTTGAGTCCTGGTTGAGTCCTGGTTGAGTCCTGGTTGAGTCCTGGTTGAGTCCTGGTTTAGTCCTGGTTTAGTCCTGGTTCAGTCCTGGTTTAGTCCTGGTTTAGTCCTGGTTCAGTCCTGGTTCAGTCCTGGTTCAGTCCTGGTTCAGTCCTGGTTCAGTCCTGGTTTAGTCCTGGTTTAGTCCTGGATTACACGAGCTTTAGTCCTGGTTCAGTCCTGGTTCAGTCCTGGTTTAGTCCTTGTTCAGTCCTGGTTTACACGTGGTTTAGTCCTGGTTTACATGTGGTTTAGTCGTGGTTTAATCCTGGTTCAGTCCTGGTTTAGTCCTGGTTTAGTCCTGGTTTACACGTGGTTCAGTCCTGGTTTAGTCCTGGTTTAGTCCTGGTTCAGTCCTGGTTTAGTCCTGGTTTACACGTGGTTTAGTCCTGGTTTAGTCCTGGTTCAGTCCTGGTTTAGTCCTGGTTCAGTCCTGATTTACACGTGGTTTAGTCCTGGTTTAGTCCTGGTTTAGTCCTGGTTTAGTCCTGGTTCAGTCCTGGTTTAGTCCTGGTTTAGTCCTGGTTCAGTCCTGGTTTAGTCCTGGTTTAGTCCTGGTTTAGTCCTGGTTTAGTCCTGGTTCGGTCCTGGTTCATTCCTGGTTCAGTCCTGGTTTACACGTGGTTTAGTCCTGGTTTAGTCCTGGTTTAGTCCTGGTTTAGTCCTGGTTTAGTCCTGGTTCATTCGTGTATGCGGTGCAAAAGTTCGGCATCACAGTCACGGAAACGGGAAACGGTCATTATCCGTTTTTTCTATTGTTCAATTAAACCCAAAATTGAAAACTGAAAAAACAAATCTTTATCTGTTTTTTCGTTTTGGTTTTGGAGACAAATAATGAAGAAAATAGTTGTTCTTTCATTTTCTTATTTTTGGTTTTATTTAGAAAAACGAATGAACAAATGATACACGGATTAGTCCGTCTTGTCTTTTCATAAATCTTTTTTTAAAATATATTTTTTATCTTTTTTTTTCCTAAGGACCAGCCCTACTAATTTAGTTATTTATTTCATTCATGAAGTATAAAAAGACTTTAACGGTGTCTTAACATGAAAGAAATTAATGAAACGGAGCAGAAAGAAGATGATTCATTTGATGTTCTCTGCCCCCTCTTCCCTTTTCCCTTTTCCATACAAAACATTAACACTTTTAGTTACTTTAAAATATTTAAAATCAGTACATTTAATTTCAATCACAAATAATAATCAATTGCAAACAGAAATTTAAATTTTTATGCACAACAACTTAGTTTCCTTTTTCATAAATACACATTGCATTGATTTTATGTATGTTTAAAATGCGATTATTGGATTTGATTCTTTGATTTCTTTGTCATAAATGAACTTTTACAGCAATGCTTCAATCCATAAACTTGGTTCTGAATCTGCTTTTTTTTAAAAACATGTAGGTTCTTTTTAAATCAGAGTGGCTTGTTCTCACCTCAAACAGTCTTTAAATATTTACAGGTCACACTCTGCACTTTGTTTTATACAGGACTTTCAGGACCTGTGTGTTTTGTGCAATAGTTTTAAGTCCATGTTTTGTTGTATCTCTGTGGTTTTCCTTGACTCCTCTGCACTTCTCCCCTTCGCCACAGTCCACGTGCCCTTCCTCATCACCACTGTGTTTCTCTTTTACAACTTCGGAAAATCCTGGAAGTCCGATCCTGGAATCATCAAGGCCTCAGAGGAGCAGAAGAAAAAGGTAACGGCTCTAAAACTCAGTTTCTCCCCTCGACCAATCCAGCTCTTTTATTACTTTATACATTTATTTTATACTTTTATTACTCTGTTTTCTGATCTGTGCGATAATGTTGCTTCCTCGTCACAAACAGACCCGGAGTTATGTTTTTGTGTGGTAACAGGAAGTGCTCCACTCTGTTTTTAAAATCCATCCTTTGAGATTTATAGATGTAGACATTGTGTAACATTGGGTCATTCCATGTCAAATCTCCGCTCGACCATCTCAGATTTGACTGAAAAATTCGAGGAGGTTCACACACTTTTGAAAAAAAAGGAAAAGTCAAAAATTTTTGCTCCCAACTCCATATAGTTTTGTCATTAAAGGTTGTATAGAGGATTTTCCAAGGAACGAGAAATCCAGCGACTGTTTGTCCTTTTTCAAATGTTGCGCGCATGCGTGAAACCACCCCCCCCTCCCCCACAGCTCCTACGTAGAAACACCTCCTCCCTCCTCCTCCTTACGCCAGAAACAGGTTTGTTTACAGCCGGTGAACTGCACATGACTTGTAAACAACTAACTACAGTGTTGGTTAGGCAAGACGGAGAAGTGAGGAGCAGGGGGGAAGAGCGGATCGGGCAGCGGGGAGAGGAGCAGGAAAGGGGAGCAGAGAAGGTTGCAAAGGTTGCGCGGAGATTCAGTGCGAATGAACTAACTACAACACGCAGCAGCAAGCGGACTCTTTCTTTGCCTTGAAAAATTACGTTTTCAGACATAGGATATCGCTTTCGTGTCCTGAAAAACGTTTGTGTAGTAGCTCTTGGAAATAAAGTACGTTTTCATAATAAGCAGAAGTTTCCTGTCCAGGAGTAATTTGTGGACCAGTGGTTCAGTCAGTTTTAGACCCTGCGTCTGCTTCAGTCGCGCCATCGCTGGAATGAATCTCCAAGAATCACCTTAGTTTGGCTTCGCTGCTTTTCCCCTTGTCTTCTTCTTTCAGCGAACCTCAAAAACAGACTTTCTTTTTGCGGCGAACTGCTCCTGGATTCTTGTCGCCATTGCAACAAACTTTGTGCAAACTGTGAGGAAGATATAGGTCAAAAAAAGCTGCTAAGAACTGTTGCGTTGGTGGAGTAAACAGCGTCTGTGCGTCTTGCGTCTGTGGACTGTGTGACAGTCGTACGTAAACCACGTACCGGCGGCGCGAAGGCAAGTCAGTTACACTAGAAACGTAGGGAGATTTGATTGACAGCCTGTCAGCTCACAGATAACGAGGCAGTGTCGTTATCTATTGGCAAATGTTTAGCCCCACCACGTCCAGAGTTGATGAATTTTTTATTCTCTTTTTTTTTGGTCATCATAATTACAAGGCTACTGCACCTCTATAATCTCTCATTGACAATTTGAAACAAAAAAAAAATCCTTCATACAACCTTGAAGAATATTTACTCAAAACAGGTCAGGGGGGAGTTGACGAGAGTTTTCCGAGGAGCCACTTTCAGATTGCTCCATCTTAAAAACTATTTAAGGTCGGTCCTTGAAATTTTCAAGGGTTAAAATTTGGCAAATTTATATAAATCATAATCCATTAATGTACAACAGGGGTCTCAACCTTTTTCTTTCTGTGAGCTACTTTTTGTAAAACGAAATGCCAGAGAGCTACAATTTTATAGGTCGCCAGAAATGTAGTAAATATAAGAGCCATGGTGCGCTGAAGATGAGGTACTGTTAGATTTCTATAAAGCATAACCCATTATCCAGTTATCAGCGCACAGAATTAGGCATCAAAATTATACATTTACAAAAGAAATACGCATTTAATCAATTAAATTCAAGTTATTCAGCACAATACATATAATTCAGAAATCCCTCGGCGAGTTACTTGTATGGAGGTGGAGAGATACTGGTAGCTCACGCGCTTCAGGTTGGAGACCTGATGTACATCATTCATAGTCCATGAATGATGTACATTAAAGGTTGTATAGAGGATTTTTTAAGGGAAGAGAAATACAGCGACCGTCCTTTTTCAAATGTTGTTCATGCGTGACACCACCTTCCTCCTCCACAGCTCCTCAGTAGAAACATCTCCTCCTCCCGCCTCTTTACTCTAGAAATCACGCTTTACATCCAGTGCGTGTTCAGAATTACTGTTGAAGTTTCCTGTCTAGAAATAATTTATCGACCGACCCGTCAGTTTTTAGACCCTTCGTCTGCTTCATTCAAGCCATCGCTGGAAGGAATCTCCAAGTATCACCTCAGTTTGGCTTCGCTCCTTTTCCGCTTCTCTTCTTCTTTCAGCGACCTCAAAAACCGACTTTCTTTTGCGGCGAACTGCTCATCGATTCTCGTCCGCCGTCGCAACAAACTTTGTGCAAACTGCGAGGAAGCTGCAGTTTGAAAAACCCTCTAAGAACCGCTGCATAAACCACGAAATCCCGCGCGCCGACGAGTCACTTACACTAGAAACGTAGGGAGTTTGATTGAAAATCTAACAGCCAATAGTAAATGAGGGAGCCTCGTTTTCTATTGGCTGATGTTTATCTGGCCTCACTACGTCCACAGTTGATAGATTTTCATTCTTTTTTTTTTTTTTGGTCATCATAATTACAAAGCTGCTGCGCCTCTGTCATGGTATTTTAAACTTTCATTGACAATTTGAAACAAAACAAAAAAATCCTCCATACAACCTTTAATGCGAACACCACATTTTCAAAAACTCATTTTGCGAAAATAAGGCAGAACACCATGACAAATGTTGGATATGTTAAAAACAGACATCTAGTATTTTTAAACAGTCCATTTTATGTTGGTGGGCGATGCCATTTTTTTGGTATAACATGGTAAAGATAGCACCAAATACATTTTTTTTTTTTTTTTTTTTTTAAAATTTTTAACACTTAATATCTTGTAGTTCGTTCATCACAGAGGGTCAGTTTTAAAATACAAAGTCCACAGTGTTTGTGGGAAGGTTTATGTTCAATATCAAACCTCTGTCTTTGAAACTGCACTTTCCACAGTCCTTCAAAGACGCCCTCAGATTTGAAGAGGAAATTTCAAGCAAATTCAAGCCTCCAGAAATCTGTGATAAACCAAAAGCTCATGTGTAAAAGTCCAGATTTTAGAAAGACCCAATTTTTCTCTGGTTTTTAACACCGTGTGAGTTGTGTGGTCCTCTGTGTCTTTTATTTATTTATTTATGTATTGTTTTTATCTATTTTATTTTTCAGTACAGCTTTTATGTATTGATTTTATTATATTTGTTCATTGATTTTATTATTATTATTTTATTAATTATTTCTATTTGTTTCCTCATCCTTGGACCATAATTCAGCTGATTTTTTATTTTATTTTATTTTTTTACATTGCTTTGTAAAGCACTTTGGAAACGGTCTTGTTTATAAAATGTGCTATACAAATAAAGTTGGATTGGATTGAAAGTACATTTACCAAATTTTAAACCTTGAAAATTTGAAGTTCTTTAGAAACAGCAATCTGAAAGTGACTCCGTGGAAAACTCTGCTCAAAACAGGTCAGCGGGAGTTGACAAAATGTTTTAATGAAAAACTATAACTAAAATTTGGGACATTTCCTATTGGAAAGTGTGTCAAGCTCGTAGAATTTCTTTCAGTCCAATGTGAGATGGTCGATCAGGGCATTCGGAGATTTGACGTGGAATGACCCCGTTGTGTAATGTAGGACCTTTTAACCTTTTTTATCTTTTATTTATGTGTTGGTTTTAACTTCTTTTTATTGTTTTGCAGGATTTTACGAGCACTGATAGAGCAATTTCTTGTAATCTCATCTTTAAGTATAATAGTTGGCTTCTTATTTTCTCTTAATCAGACGTGTAATTGACGTGAATTTACCTCGACATGTTTGGGCCTTGAGCTGTGAACCGTCTTCACAACTGTCAGAGTAAATACAACTCACTTACACGTCTGATTAAAAGAAAATATGAAGCTGACGGGTGAAGAGCTTTATATATATAATACCATGAGAAAGAAAGAAAGAAAGAAAGAAAAGAGAGAAAGAAAAGATCCAAATGATTCCAGTGAAGGTGTATGAAGTTTAAAAAAATCATTGGAGCACTTCCTGTGTGATCACATGACATCACAAGGTGGAACTCGGCCTGTAACGATAACAGATTTTGCTGGACGATTATTTGACCAAGAAATTACTGCGATAAACAGTAATATTGACATTTTGAGACCATTTTCAACTAAGGCAAGGCAAGGCAAGTTTATTTGTACAGCACAATTCGTACACAAAGTCATTCAAAGTGCTTTACAGAATAAGAAATACATTAAAATCATAATAAAAACAAATCAGAACATAAATAATCATGAAGATTAAAATAAAAAAAGAGAGACATAAATTGGAGAGAAGAGTGCGGAATGAAAACCTTTCAGTTATTTGCACAGTTAAACAGAAATGTTTTGAGTCTGGATTTAAACAGCGTCACAGAAGAGTCTGTCTCACATGTTCAGACTGTTCCAGGTTTTAGCTGCATGAACCTGAAACTCTGACTCCCCTTGTTTAGTCGTGACTCTGGGCACCAGCAGGAGTTGGTCCCTGAGCTCCTCAGAGTGTGAGATGTTCATATGACACTAACATGTCACAGATGGACTTTGGTGCTCGGCCATGGAGACACTTGTACAAACAGAGCTGCTTTAAAGTCTCTGAGCCACAGGAGCCAGAGCAGAGACCTGAGACCAGGACTTATGTGCTCGTACTTCCTAGTTCGAGTCAGGACCTGAGCTGCAGTGTTCTGGATGTTCTGGATGTTCTGGATGTTCTGCAGCGTCTCACAGCTCGTTTGGAGAGACCAGTGAGCAGAACATTACAGTATCTAACCTACGCATGGATACGTTTCTCCAAGTCTGATTTAGACAGTAAACCTTTGATTTTTACTCAGTTTTTTAGATGGTAAAAGGCTGCAGATGTTATTGACTTGATGTGGCTGTTAAAGTTCAAGTCTGAGTTCATTATTACCCCTAGATTTCTTGCCTGATTTGAAGGTTTTAGACAGAGAGAGACTGGAGGTGATGCTGACACTGTCCCTTTGTTTTTGTGGACCAAACACTATGACTTCAGTCTTGTCAGAGTTTAGCTGGAGAAAGTTGTTTTGCCTCCACACACTGATCTGTTGGATGCAATGACCAAGTGAGTCCACTGGTCCATAGTCTCCTGCTGCCAGAGAGACGTAGATCTGAGTGTCGTCTGCATAATTACAACTAATGTAATGACAATGGAATAAAAATGCAAATACACCCTTTCAAAGATCAATAAACTTTACTTTCTAAATAACATTTAACACAGGAACTCAAGACAACAAAAAACAACAGGCCTGAATAAAATGGGCCATTCTTATGTTAACAAGTCTAATGTGTCTGGGTTCACAGCAAGGACTTGGTAAACATGCCCCTTGAATAAACCATTGTTGAACCAAACACAATCAAAACAATAAATAAATGAATTATTAAGTCTCTAACAAACTTGTCCTTAAAAGTGATTTTAGTCGTTGACTCACGTTGGAATAATGTGTCTCGTCTCTCTGTGGCTGCTGCTGTGGCCTCGACATTTTGGTCTTGAAGTGTTCGTATGAACCTGCGACACAGGATCTTGTTTCTCTATGAAAGCCGCTGTCCTGTCTGGTGTTGTGTCTGTGTCTTGTGGGATTTCAGTGGATTTCGGGTTCTCCCGGGGGCTAGGGTAGTTGTTTAGGTTGGGTATGGGCGTATGAGCCATTTCCTCTTGTCGTTTGCGAGCTCAGTGCATTTGATGCATGTGGCCGTTGACACATTTCTCACTCACTCGTGTTGATTTGGCAACTTGACTTGTTTTGTCACACAGCGCTGAACTGTTTTGGTTCTGACAGTGGCGCTAGAGTTGGAGCTTCATCCGCTGTGCTGATAAACCGTCTACGCTGACACGTTCGTTCAAGCGTCATTACGATAAGGAAACGAGGCGTCAGTACAGAGCGATAGAAGCCTTTTGACATTCAGTCTCTTTCGTTGAGAGCGAGCGAGACGAGGAGGGAAACAAACAAGCATGCAAATACAAATTATCACGGCCATAAAAGTTATCGGGCTTTTTAAAAGTTATCGTACAATTAATTGATGTATTGATTATTAGGGGTGTAACAATAGCCAAGTCTCACGTGACGATATCATCATGGTATGAACCTGATGGTACGATATTTATTGTGATATCTTGATATGGAGGGGAGGCTCACGATTGGGGATGTAACAATATCTAAATCTCTCAGTACAATATTCTCACGATATACATCTCACGGTACGATATTTATTACGATATTCTGTGAAGGCTGCCAAAACAAAACAAGACAAAGAACTAAGACTTAAAACTGTTAGAATTGTTATTTCTTCTTGTCGTCTGCACTGAAATGGAGCAAAGGATCATGGTCTATGTAGTTCCCTCTGTCTTTTTTTAGCTGTTGCTGCACCATAACTCTTCATTTAAGCAAAGAGACTTGTAATTTGATAATATTGTGAGAACTCTGACAATACGATATCACGATATTTTGGTTATTGTTACATCCCTGTTGATTATCGTTACAGGCTTAAAGTGACTTCAGTTTGAGAGAAGAACTCAGCCTAAATCTGCAGGGTTTGTGTGTTAAACATGTGTAAACAAAACTCCAGGTCTGTTTGTGACGAGGAAACAGCATTAGAAGAGGGAGTAGAGTAACACGGGCTCTTTAAACCCTCTGCTGTTTTCTGTTTTGGTGCATCTTTGTCTTTGTCCCACATCCAGCTTCATTATCACAGTCGGATGTTTGTCCCACATCCAGCTTCATTATCACAGTCGGATGGAGAGCCACACTGTCCTGTCTGTTCGCTCGGTCTCATGGAGAGCTATATTTACCCCGCTGTATTGTTCGGCCTGGAGGTCCCTAAAGGGGTCCTCACCGCGGGGCCCCTTCCTCTTCCACCTTTTGTTCGGTTCAAAGATACAGCTGCGCTTTGTTTACAGAAATGTGTTTGGCAAGAAAAAAATAGGTTTGGCGAGAAAAAAGGCTGAAAAGGCTGAAGTTAAAAGTGAATTGTGTAACTTTTCTGGTGGAGGGTCAGTGAAATACTCCATTTTCTCCGTGGAGATGTTATTGCTTTGTTTAGAATGTTCCACAGTGTGGCTTTAAACCTTTCTGTCTTCATGGAGAACAAACCAGACCAAGTTACAGGTCAGATCTGTGGAGAGACGACCCGCTCACAGTCAGAATATCTGTTTTTTGAGGTATTTTTGAGCTATAAAACCACCTGTAATTGAATAAATGGGTCCAGTCAAGCACTGCTGCTGCTCAGACATAAATCCTTCAAATGCAAGGCTGGTTTTACTTCTAAAATGATTCTATCGACACAGACCTTCACATGGACAGTCTGGTGTAACAGTAGATTTGTTTCGGGTGTTTTGTGGCGTGGGTAAGACTGTATCTCCACTGAGAACATTCTGAGTGTGGTTTTAACCGTCTATTTCCAAGGAATTTTGTCCTGAGGGCCGTTACTCTCCTCAAACTGCCCCAACACTTGAACTGCACTAAGCGAACAGAAGCCTGAGTCATATTAGCGTAATCACTCAGGCCCCTGATGTGCGATTTCACACCTCAAGCGCTCTATCTCTTTTTCTTCATCTGAGGTTATCACTATTGTTTTCTTTGTTTTGTTTTCGGTCTAAGGATGGGGTTGTAAATCGGAGAAAGATAATGTCCGAGTCCTCCATTTCTGCTCAAACATGGATCGTCTTTCCAAACGGCAAAACCCTCTTTAACTCTCCTCTCAACCAATTCTTTTCTTTTGCTAAGATCTGTACCTCGCTGTCCTCAGAGGAGCGTTTATCGGCTTTGAGATGGAGATGTAGAGATGAGTTTGCTGTGGATCACACCTGGACGACTGAGGATTACACCGAAATCAGTCAGAATATTTACACATTAGAAGAAGCATTAGACTCAGGGAAAAACAAAGCGGTCTTTTTATTTCTTCTGTTTGTCCTTGTTTCAAATGCATCTGAAAAGCTCTATATAAGTGTTATCATTCTTCTTCTTCTTTTTTTTTAACCATGGATGTATTTTTCTCTGTTTCAGACCATTGTAGAATTGGCAGAAACAGGCAGTCTGGACCTGAGTATATTTTGCAGCACCTGTTTGGTAAGACACAAACTTCTCATGTCAACTTGTCATTACATGCTAGAAAAAAATGTGTAAAAATTTACGCTAAAAGTCAAAAGTTTGTACTCACCCTCATTTTCTATATGTGTTATTGTGCATTACTGCTTTTTATATTTAATATACATATGGAAGACATGAAATTTACTGTATGAAGTAAGAGTTACTGAATTATACAGTAACGAAAAAAAGGCTAAATAACTCTACTAAATTAAAAAACAAAATTATAACCAAATCTCCAAATTAGTCTCTTTGCTGCGATTTTTTTTCTTTTTTTTTTTTTTTTCTGCGAATTTTTCACTCTGAATTTTGACTGTTAAATTTGAGGGCTTGAAAATATTTGTGCTGAATATTTAAAAGGTGATTTTTTTTTCTTTGAAAATATACACTTAAAATTTCATCACTGACCATTCAGAATAAAATAATTCTTTTTTAAAATAAATTTTTTTTTTTTTTTAAGAATTTAAAAAATTCAAAGGGAGAAATTTAATGCCATTTAAAATCTAATGGAATCAGAATCAGAATCTAATGGAACAAATTAGATTCTGATTCAAATTATCTTCCATCACGAACCCTCCTCCACAAAAGTTGCGCAGTGTACTTTTAAAAAATATTTAGGAGAGTCATTTTACTTTTTTTCTTGACTGAATAATTCCATGTATTTTTATCTAAAATGTAGAAAGTGGTAAGACAAAAGAAAACGCTGAATGAGAGGAATAAACGTGGCCGCTCTGGACTCAACTTTACTCATGGGAGGTGGTTGTGAGTTAAATTCCCTGTTAATGAGCATGAATTTTTTTACATTCTGATTTTAGGCACTTTCTCGGTTTCTTGGTTGAGTCCAGACTTTTGATTGGCAGTCTACATTTGATACTAGAAACCAGCTTTTACGTTGTGATTCAGGATTATCATGTTATAGTCTCCGGCCAAGTCAGTTTTTAATTTATCTTAACTAATCGATTGTGTGTTTCTTTCTTCAGATACGGAAGCCCATCAGGTCCAAACACTGTGCAGTTTGCAATCGCTGCATCGCAAAGTTCGACCACCACTGTCCCTGGGTCGGCAACTGTGTCGGTCAGTAAATTCTGGTGGTTTTTTTCATAAAATTGTTTAATTTAATCAAATGTGAAATGTAATGTACCATAGTCATTTTTACATTTTTCTGGTACCTTAGACCCCAGGTACAAAGGACAAAAAATATACTACTTTACTTTTTTTTTTGTGCTTTTTTCATTTTTTTGGATGTTTTTATTGTACTGAAAAACGAGGCTTGCAGCTCCACAAACCTGGCTTTTGTTTGGCCTGGAACAGGGCAGTTTCCTGTTTGATTCCACGGAAATGTTGTTCCTTTGGCTATAAAATCACACAGTGTGGCATAAAACATAAAACATACTGTATTTATTTCCACGCAGAATATTCCGGAGTACGGTTTTCGCTTTCTATTTCCGTGGCACTTTGTCCTGAGGGTTGTTACTCTCCTCAAACTGCACCAACACTGGATCTGACTCTTTGTTTTTGCTTTCTGTTATTATTGTAATTTATTGCTTAAATGAAGTGTTACTGATTGATCAATCGTCCAGAAAAGTTACCCAGTGTTGCTTTAATGTAAATGCTGAATACATTTTCCCGCTCTCGCCCCCTACAGGCAGCGGGAACCATCGCTACTTCATGGGGTATCTGTTTTTCCTGCTCTGTATGATCTGCTGGATGATCTACGGCTGCATCTCCTGTGAGTCCAAAACCCGCTCCACACGAGTTAAGATTTTACCGTCGTTTTAAGTGTGCGGCCAAAGCTCCCGGTCAAAGCCTGAGCTCGTCTGGTCTCTGGAGTGAAGCCGTGTCTGTGTTTAGGACCTGGATGGGAGACCGCGGGGAATTCCAGGGGCAAAACTGTGGTTGTGTCCTTAGGCAAGACACTTCAGCCACATTGCCTAGATGAGTGTGGAGTGTGTGTGAGTGTTGGTTGAGGTCGGAGAGGCTGATGGTGAAGATTTGCAGCCTTACTTCAATCAGTCTGTCCCAGGGCAGCTACAATACATTCTTACTGCCACAGAGTGTGGAGTGAATGAATAATGCATGAAATATTTTCTTTATTGTATTTTTATACTTTTCTTTTCAACTTATTTTCCTCAAAGTGCCACTGAACTGATCTAAAATGATGAAATATAGTGTATTAGTTATGCTGCTATGTCCACATGACAACGATCCTGGATTTTTTTATTTTGCGGGTTGAAAAAGATTTGCATCCACACATGTTGGAACAATAAATATTCACATCCACATGACAACGGAGCACTGAGTGAAAACGAGGTAATACATCTGCCACACCTGTATGTGGCGCTGTAAAGAGGATACAGCCACAGCCACTGGACACACGATACTACAGAGAAGCGTGTGCTCAAAGTCCTTCCTCTTCTGCAACAAACACAAGAATCGTTTTCCAAAAGCTGTGGTTTGGCAACGCTGCCGTTCTCAGATTTCTCCATTTTAGAACCCGTTTTCAACAAACACAGTTTTCGCCCACCCGAAACGAAACAAATAAAAAATATCTCGTGGACACATCCTAAAAATACATGTAAACCTTTATTTTAACACTTACTAGAAAGAGACAACTGTGTAAAACGTGATGAAAGCTCTTGTCTGTTTGTGGTTTAAAAGGGGCTGTGGGTAGAATGTGTGGAAAGTGATCAAATCAGCCCAAAAATATCGGCAGATCTTATCGACCATTGTGTTCTTTAGCTTCGAAACTCTCTGTATCGGCATTGTCCATTAAAAAAAAAAAATTGACCAGTCTGTATTTACCACTTCTCCACTAAACCAAGTGATAATGAACCATGAAACCCTGTCCTGTGCACTTGAACCTAAACCCTGTGCCCCCTCCTTCTCTCAGACTGGAGGGTCCACTGTGGCACCACTTACTCCAAAGACGGCTTCTGGTTGTACCTGACGCAGATCGCCTCCTGCTCCCCCTGGATGTTCTGGATGTTCCTCAACAGCATCTTTCACTTCATGTGGGTGGCCGTTCTCATCATGTGCCAGCTGTACCAGGTAAGACTCGGTTTAGGACTCAACCCGTATAAAATAACCCTTTATATTCAAACTTTCTTTTCCCATTTCAGATCGCAGCTCTGGGAATCACGACCAACGAGAGAATGAACGCTCGAAGATACAAGCACTTTAAAGTCACAGCCACGTCAATTGAAAGTCCGTTCAAGTGAGTAAAGAAATGAAAAGTGCTGAAGGTTTTAGTCAGAATTTATTGAATCACGAAACTACACAGACCATGTTTGCCCCGTTTCAGTGCAGACACCACCAAGAAATAATTGTTAAGAAGCACTTAGTTTTTTGGATTATAACGTCATGATTCAGAGTTTTCAAAATATTGCAGTTAATACTAGGAGTGTAACGATATCCAAGTCTTACGATACGATATATATTGTACGAATTTATTGTGATATCGTAGGAAAGCTCACGATATGATGGGGAGGATCATGATTAGGGATGTAACAATTTCCAAATCTCTCGAGACGATATTTTGGAGATTATTAACAGTTTTTGTTGTCTCGTGAGATGTTTATCGTGAAAATATCGTACTGAGAGATTTGGATATTGTTACATCCCTAATCGTGAGCTTTCCCACGATAACGCAATAAATATCGTACCGCAAGGTTCATACAGTCATAATATCGTATCGTGAGACTTGGATATCGTTACAGCCCTAAATATGATATGTTTTTGTGATACTAAACGTCATTTTTAAACCACTTCTTGTGCAAAGTTCGTATGAAAGACGCCTGTTTTAATCCTCAAAACAGTGAAAATGTCAAATGTGTTTCATGAAGGAGTTTCCTTCCTCTAAACAAGCAACAAAAATGTAGCTGTAAGAAAATAATTTAGTAAAATATGACAAAAAATACTCTTTGCGCTATATTGATACAGCCCACAATATTGATGCTGTATCATCGCAGTAACTGATACGATATATCGATATTTAGATATTTTTGCACATGGGTTCGGTCAAGTGGTAACGGAGGGAAACGAGGGCAGATTTTTGACATTCAAATGTCTCTTATTCAGAAACTAGAGGAACTATTGAAATAAGTAAAGTATCAGAATGTAGGAAAGAGTTACACTCCAACAGGGTCAAGTTAAACCTGTGATATTCTTTCAAGTTGTTGACAAAAAATTTAAAAACTCATGTCAGTAACGGAGGGAATGAAATATGCAACACTTTTTGGGCAATAAATCCAAACAGTGATAACTCTTGGTTCTCACTTACATATCCTTAACAAACTGGTTTGAATATTTGCTTCATATAGTTTTCTACCATATGGGACAAGATTAGGTTGAAAAACCTCTTACTTTTTGACTCATGAGATTTTTTATTAAGAAAGGTCATGGTAACGGAGGGAAAAGTAACGGAGGGAAAATTGTGCAAACAAGTAGAAGGTGCAGGATTTTACATCATTTGTCAACTTTTTTCTTCTGAATACTTTAATATTACTTCAAAATGAAAGGAAACTATTTCTATAAAATATGTCAGTCCTTCCAGGCAAATTTTTATGATTTTAAATAATATATATATTTTTTTTTTAAATCCTGTACCTTCATCAACAGTTCAAAGATGGAATAACACAAGATATGATGAAATACATCCATTTATTTACATGATTTTCAGGTCTTTGAAATTTGGGAAATAATTTTTGTTCCATGTTTCATACATGGTCTGTTTAAAACATATGGAACTTTAGAACCAAAAATGGTACAGAAAAAAGGTCAACAGTTTGATAAACTAGAGTACATATGTATCTGTTCAATACATTTTTATATCAGATGCATTAACTTGAATTTTTGGCCTTGATGTTTATTTCTGTTTGACCGGGTCCACATCCCTAATAATAATAATAGAAATAATAACAATAATAATAATAATAAAGTTCCACAGTTTGTTTATTTTCCTCCTTCTGTCTTCTCTCCTCAGTCACGGCTGCATGAGAAACCTGATCGACTTCTTCGAGCTGCGCTGCTGCGGTCTCCTGCGGCCGGTCTCCGTGGACTGGACGTCTCAGTACACAATAGAGTACGACCAAACCTCGGGCTCGGGCTACCAGCTGGTGTAGCCGCCGCTCCCTCCTTCCCTCCCTCCCTCCTCCTCTCTCTCTCTCTCTCCGTAAACAAACAGCCTTTTCCAAAAACCACGGGAGCAGACTCTCCGCCGGCGCAGTCGCTCCCCCCCCCTCCTTCACAAACGCCGCCGCTCCAGACGAGAGAACCGACTTTTTGATTTGGACCACCGCGTCCGTCACACCCGGCGAGGATAAAGAAGCCGGGGATCGCATGCTTTTCCAAGGAACGGGGGGGGCGCTACATTAACTCCGCCCCCTTTCCTCCCCCTGCCCCCCACCGTTCGAACGACATCACCTCCACCGCGATTGGTCCTCGTCTCGAATCTCCGGATACGATTGGACGGTGCTCGCTGCCATGTTTTTTTGGAGGAGAACGGAGACGAGCGGATACAATTTTACGACGAAAACTGTACAGAAAGTAATGGATATATTGACGTTTAAAAACCCTTATATAATATTATTTATGGCGTCCCTCGTAATGTGTACGGAAATGATGGCGAAGTTGTTATCGGCGGAAATGTTTTTAAATAAGGGAATGTTTCAAGGTTTTCTTTTGCACCGTGATGAACAATTAGAAGTTAGACTGGTAATCTTAATGCCAATTTATGTACTTATCAGATACAGTGTCAGCTATAGGACAAGCCCACCGTCTTGCTTTTTTATTTTTTATTTTTTTGCATTCTAATGGTAAAACGTGATCCATTTTATGCAGTATTAACGTTTTCATCCGTAGATTTGACTGAAAATATCATTCAAACAATGTGACAATATATAACGTATTTATTTTAACTATTTATACAGGTATAAAATAGATAGAACATGCTTTTTTTCTTTTTTTTTTTACAACATTTTAGACAATTTTTTAAGGAACTTGGTCCTCCAGAACGCTGATAGAAACTGGTATTTATTATCAGATTTGAAAAAGGTTTACATGAGCGGTTCATTCCACATTTCTTTGATTCTTCTTGCACTGAATTCGTTTTTTTTTTAAGGCGTTTTTTTTTTTTTTTTTCTTGCCTGTTACTTAAGCGAAGAAGGGCCGGCGAGCTGCTTCGACGGACAAAAACGGGAAGCGGCCGACGTGGAGGGGCCGACCGCTCGGACCCAGTTGCAGACGCGACGGACGAGAGAGACTTTACTGAATGTGGATTTGTACATAGGACAATTTAGAAATAATATCTAAGTGACTCTTCTGTTTCCTGGGTTTGTTTGTTGGTCGCTGTTAGTCGAGCTGTGCCTAATTTATTGTCAAAATTAGGAGATATCTTTTCAACCGGGGCCTGGATTCATGTACAAGAGCAGACTTGGCATTAGAGTCACGTTAGTCGCTGAAATCGCAAGCTCGTAATCAAAAAGTTTGTGTAAACGCTCGCTACGTGACTGTTTAAGTGTTCAGTGTTCCAGTATTCATGACGCTCATATTAGACGAGTTTCTGATCTACGTTCTAATGTTGTTTCCTCATCAAATCGAAATCATTTGGATAATTTCAGCCCCAGAATTGACAATCTCGACTAAACCTAAAGTAAAAAGTAGCTGTTAACTTAAACTACCGCTTCATGACATCACAAGGTGGAACAGTGTGGAATAAATTTTGAGTCAAATAGTACAAAGAATGATTTTAAAACATGAAGCAAAAAAGTATAAACGTAAAAATAATCAAACAAAAAAAGTAATCAATCAAATTATTTGTGTAATCGTGTAAAACAGGGGTGTCAAACTCATTTTGGTCCAGGGGCCGTGTCCAACCGACTTTGATCCCAAAGTGTCCGGATCAGAAAACTCATGTCATATAAACCCCAAAAATAACAATAAGTTCAAATATTTGTACAGAGAAATGCAGAAATCTTTTTTTAATTGATGAACTCTTTCTTTTACAAAATATTATTATGAACAACCTGAAACTTTAAGAAAAATGCAATTTTTAACACAATGTTTTAACAGGAACTTGTATGTAAATAGGAATAAGTACATTTTTCTTGTAAAATCCTGCACTCACGTCCACGTTTTCTAATTTTTGACATTTTTCTGATGAGGTTGTCACGGTCAACAGTCAAAACGATCGTCCTTTAAGAGCGTTTGGAAAGAGACAAGTCTTCATTTGTGCTGCTCTGGTGGGAGGGGCCACGTACAGAGACGCTGGAGACGCTGCTGTGATAAACACCACAGAAAATTATCAATATTTTAATAGAAAATATCATTAAATCAATCAAAATCAGCCGAGCGCTAGATTAAAGGTCTTGCAGGGCTGGATCCGGCCCCCGGGCCGTATGTTTGACACCCTTAGTGTAAAATATCTGTCTTCGGCTTTTTAGAAACATTTTGCTTTTGTTCCGCGTCTTAGTTTAGTTTGATGCCATTTTCTTTGGTTCTGTCCCTGCGTTCGAGTCTCTCAAGCGTTTGATTAAGTCCAAGTGGGAGTCAGAAGATAATAAAACACAGGGTCATTTTTGGTGCTGGTTTGACACAAATGTTAGAGGTGGGTGGGATTTCCATGGGCGCGTTCCCATTGGCTCATTTATGTTTGACGGACAGCTGAGCTCCAGAAGCTGTTGTGGACGTTTCCTGTTGAGGTTTTGGTGCTCAGAGCTTTTCTAATGTTAATGTTCTAATGTTCTTCTGGAACAACATTATTCTGTACAGTGGAAGTTCAGGACAAACGCCAAACCGTTAAAACCTCAACAGGAAACGTCACAACAGCTTTCAGAGCTTCCAAACATAAATTGGCCAATGGGAATGCACTTTGGAAATCCCACCCACCTTCACGTCTGGAATAAAACTGCACCAAAAAAATCAAACAGAAGCAGAATAAGAACCAACGAAAAAGGCACCGAACAAAACTGAGAAACACACGGAACAAAAACTTTAAAAATGTAAAATTTTATAAAAAAATTGAAAAAAATATTTTCTTTTATTTTACTTTTTTTGTTAGATCTTTTTGCTTGACGTTTTAAAAGCATTGTTTCAACGATCTGACTCAAAATTTATTCCGAAGAACAGAGCATTTTGAGAGTTCTAGAGGGAGATAATCAGACGTGCGAACGAAACAAAACTCCAGGTGTGTTTTTGATGAGAGAACAAAATTATAACGAGGGTTAAAGCTCACAAGAGTCAAAAACGGTAGAGCGCAAGTTTTCCTTACTGAAAAACGTAAAAGTGCATAAGGTACAAACCCACTCCGACCGAATATATAAAACGTTCTTGAAGGACGCCAACACTTTTCGAGCGTCGAGTTTGCACCTTACCCACTTTTACATTTTTTAAAATTTTTTTTAAGGGTAACAATGTGTTTTTTGATATTTTTGCACACTCCTATTACATATCTGAGGCAAGGCGAGTTTATTTGTACGACACAACGTCATTCAAAGTGCTTTACAGGAGAAGAAATACGTTAAAATCACAACACAAACCAATCAACAGTGTTGGGGAGTAACAGATTACATGTACTGGAGTAATGTAATCAGAGTACAAATTATGAGTAACTGTATTCAGTTACAGTTACTGTTTCAGTGAGTGGTAATTGGATTACAGTTACTTTGTTGCAATAAGTGGATTACACGGCGGGATTTTTCTGTTTTCCCATTATTTTTATTTACTGTTTTTTTTTTTGTTTTCGAAAATTCCACTCATTGCTGGAAATTAAACCAGGTCTAAACCAGGACTAAAGCCAGATCTAAACCAGATCTAAACCAGGACTAAACCATAAATAAACCAGGACTAAACCAGGACTAAACCAGGACTAAAACCAGATCTAAACAGGACTAAACCAGACTAAACCATAAAACCAGATCTAAAACCAGGACTAAACCAGGACTAAAAGCCAGATCTAAACCAAGAATAAAACCATTTCTAAACTAGATCTAAAACAGGACTAAAACCAGGACTAAACCATAAATAAACCAGGACTAAACCAGGACTAAAACCAGATCTAAACCAGGACTAAAACCAGATCTAAACCAGGACTAAAGCAGGACTAAACCAGGCCTAAACTAGATCTAATCTAGATCTAAACCAGGACTAAAACCAGGACTAAAACCAGAACTAAAACCAGAACTAAAGCAGGACTAAACCAGGACTAAACCAGGACTAAACCAGGACTAAACAGGACTAAAGCAGGACTAAAGCAGGACTAAACCAAGACTAAACCAGGCCTAAACTAGATCTAATCTAGATCTAAACCAGGACTAAAACCAGATTTAAACCAGGACTAAAACCAGGACTAAACCAGGACTAAACCAGGACTAAACCAGGACTAAACCAGGACTAAACCAGGACTAAACCAGGACTAAACCAGGATTTAACAGGACTAAACCATGCAGCGTGGACCGTGTCTCCTCCTCTTCTATCAATAATATTTTTAATACGGTTAAGTTTCTTTGTCTTTGCTTCTCTACAACAAATCAAGTAATCCAAAGTATTCAGATTACATTACTCACTTTAAGTCATTTAATGGATTCCGTTACAAACTACACGTTGGGGGATGTAATCTGTAATCTGTAGGGGAATCCATTTTAAAAGTCACCTTCCCAACACTGCCAATCAAAACATAAATAATCGTCGTCAAATTCAAAAGCGAGAGAGCGTACGAGATCGGTGCGTCCTTGCTTTTTGAAACTGAAAGCCAAGTGTGTGTGTGCGTGTACGTGCGTCCCGGCCCGCGGTACCGGACTTTACTCGGAGTGTATGACTGTACAATAGGTTTTAGTGATGTCCACACTGCTGTTAATAGAGCCACTGCATGTGAGATGCTTGGGGTAGCTGGGCTTTCGAAACTCAAAACCCTTTGGTAGCAGCCCAGCAAAGCCACTGTAAATACTGAATGTTTTCTCCCGAGTATTTGCCATTTACGTTTTTGCATTGTGTGTTTGTTTTGTTTTTTTGTTTTTGTTTGTTTGTTTGGTTTTTTTTTCAAAGTTGCGTTGTGTAACTTTTGCGGCGGAGCGTCCGTCAGATGCTTTCCTCCGCCGAGATGTTACTGCTTCGTCTGGAATGTTTCACAGTTCTACAAATCCGACCGACTCGCAGTCAGAATGTCCGTTTTTCGAGGTATTTTTGAGCTACTATATAAAACTATGGAGTAAGAAAGTGTTCAGAAATATTCATACGCGCAGGAGAGAAATCGATGTATATTTGTCTATAGTTGAGCGTAAAATAAATGTTCGTAGACTCTCGATTGAGTTCAGTCGTACATAAAATGTGTTTTTGTGTATTTTATCTGTCAGAATAAGAATGGGAAAGTTACGACGTCGAGAATTATAATCGCGAAA